ATCTGCCTGTTCTGTTCCCCACTCTGTCTCTGGTGAAGCCTCTCACCGCCCCTGAGCCTCTGGCCTGTACCCCAGTTCTGTATGTACAAATAAAATAAATCTTTAAAAATAATAATAATAATAATAATTTATTCAAGTAAAAACAGAGTAGAACATACACTATTAACAATTTGATTTACATTCCCCCAATAAATCATGAAAAATGGGGAGGAAGGTATTGAAATATTATGAACTTGTTTACTTTACAGAATAAACAATAAGTCATCCTACAGCACCAGGAAGGAGAGAAGCCCTAGCTAACTAGGGGTTGTTTCTTGTGGGACCCAAAACAATTTATACTCTGTTGTGATGTCTACATGAGGCATCAAAAGAATGACACTGAATCAGAACTTCATGTCTACAAGGAAACATAGAGGTCAATTAACCTAATGCCATTCTCATTTCTAATATTTGGTTAAGACTGGATTACACTGTATAAATGTGCTCAGTGCTTAGTCACATTGAACTGATGACCAGTCAGTGACTAAGGTCACCTCTAAATGAGTAAACATACTAAATCTAAGGTACAAAAGCTTCCTGTTTCCAAGAAGATAAACTTAAATATTTGAACATTTAGCCACTATGTTGACAATTTGTAAGTGTATCTTTTTCATAGATTGGCAATAATTTGAAGTAGAACTGCCCCTATCTACCTATAGTATTCACATATATTTCCATATTTTTAAAAATACCCTTAAGAAACCAGGTTAAACCAACATAATATGAACATATTTTTTCCTGCAGAAGATAAGTGAAGGAATGCAGGAAGTAACTAACGCAGGCCTGAGCAAAACTAGACTAGCCCAGGCAAGCATCCACCCCTTGCCCTGCCCCCCGGAATGCAGGATAGGTTGAAGAGGGACAATGTACATTTAAAATTGATTGGATAATGGGAATGGTGTGGCCCACGCTGATTGGATCTGAGGCACCAGGAAATGAGACATTTATTCCTGGAAACCTGTATTGGGTGGTTGAACTGTGACCCAGACTGTGATGTCTGTTAATCTTTGAATCCATTTGCTAAATTGAATCTGTGCGGGCTCTGACGTATGTAACGGCCAACAAGGCCAATATATTCCCTGACTTTCCTTTGGTCAGGGTCTTGCCTGAATCCTGCGTGTCCAGCAGGGAACGGCTTGACCCTGGCTAGCCAGCCCAATAAACTCTACTTTGCAAATTGCATTCTTGCGTGCCCACGTCTTTTCCACGGTAATCGAGTTCTCGGACCCTAACAATAATAAACAGAATAGAAAGGTGTGTAAAAAATGATGAAAGCTGCATCTTTACAAGGAATCATTAACATTATAAGTAAAGTAATCATTAACATTTACAAGTAATCTGACACAAGCTATGCAACCTCTGTCAAGAGACAGAGGGAGGGGAAAAGCTCTGAAAAGTCAGACTTTCCACGCTAACTTATTTTATGACCTCCCTTTTTTGTATAATCATAATATCAAAATATTCTGAGCAACCTTCATCTTACAATTGGATTGCCTCAGCCTCATAAGGTACTACCTGGTCCTGACTAGCAAGTACTGCACCAGGGTGAGAAATTCCTCTTGAAGTCAAAAGTGATTTGACAACTGACTGATTAATAAAAACAATAAAAACAAATGGCTCTTACTGCAGTCTCTCTCACTGCCAGACTGAGGAAAACCCAAACCTTATCACTCTACGATCTCACAAAACCTTCTATTCAGTTTCTGAAGAATCTCTCAAACTTCCTAGTATCTAGTCTTTAGATATGGAAATTCACCCAAGTCGCCTATTCAGAGTAATCAGGTTTTCTACCATCTAGACTTCAAGAAAATTCACTTAAACTTTCTAACAAGTTTTTCAAAGAACCTTACCATAATTTGATTTACAAGAAATTTCCTCTTCCTGCCCTCACTTTACTTTACCCCCTATTATGTCTCTATGAGAATGAAAGCCATTAAGTAGTAGATAATGTTTAAGGGACTTTATTTTGGTTAATCTTCACTGTGGTAAATATAGTAATATTAGTCTTAAACTTTGTGAATCTATGTACCTGTTTTAACCTTGATAGATTGATTTTAAAAATGTTATAATCTCAACTAAAGGTCAAAATGACCCCAGACTATTATTAGAAAAAAGGTGATTGTGATCTCAGCCCCTTTCATATGCTAATGTCATCCCTCTGCCTGCTTGAAATGTATAAAATAAACCTCTGCTGAAGGCAGAGCAGGAAGACTTGCACCCAACTACCATTCCCATGTCTTCCTC